TCTAGAACGTCCACACTGACCAAGCGTCGAGCTGCGTGGAGACGACAGGAACCGGAAGGCCTAGTTACTTCAAAATAAACCACCAAGAGCTTGAATTGCGCATGTGATAACACCCCGTTTACGCTCCCATGATGTTTGAAATAGCTATTGTTGGATAGGAATAACTCTATACCTTGGCGATCCCTTGCGGGGGTCGAGGTCAACAATCTACAGCGGTGCAAACGATGGCACATGTACGTAGCTAGGCTTTCTTTTCTGTCGATCGCTTCTTGGCCGTCTCGGGGCGCTTGGTCGACGACCCCGACGTGCCTATTGGAAGGTAACGTGCCTGCTGACACTACTCCGTCATCGTACTCGAAGCGTCTTTGGACGACGACTTGCGCGATGTCTTCTTGGAGGTTTTGGGGCGTTCTTTGGCGGGCGGACTCGTCACAATCTTGTCTTCCGCGAGCGCATACCCGTCTCCTTCTTCGTCCGACGTGTACACAAGGTACTGGTTGCGCTCAATGTGAATCTCCATCTCGGGCGTCTCCTCTTCCGACACGTACTTCTACGCATCGATGTGATACGCTGGTCGCGCAACAATATGTCAACCTTGCGCGATTTCTCCGACGCGGTCTCGGGGCGACGAAGGCCACTGGCCGAGGCCGGGCGCTGTCGCGGGCGCAGGGCATTGCCTACACCATTCTTGGAATCTCAATCTCAAAAATAAGCTCCATTTGTACCGGAAAGTTCGAGGTGCGGCAAGGTAAAGTTGTCTTCTTCGTCATCCCAGACAGCTGCGGCTTCGAGCATCGTCGCTGCCTCACGCGGCATGAAATACTCGAGCACGAGCGTTTTGAGTTTGAGCGACGCTGTGAGCTCCCGAATGGTATCGAGCAAGTCTTCCCGTTCCTACCGTTCGTAGTATTAGTGCTTGAGTACACCACTCGGTTGGACGTACGCGCGCGTGGGCCTTCTCCATCTGCTTGACGTCGGCGAGCACTTCCTTGACTTTGTTGAAGACCTTTTTGAGTTTCTTGGTTTTGGCTTCGGCCTCCTCTTGCAGGGATTGGTACTATACAAGTGGCGTCGATGAGTCCTTGCCGCCGTCGCGGCATCGCACCTGCTCTTCCTTCATAAGGTTGGACTCTTCCCGCTCGGCGAGCTCCCGCGCGAGCTTGAGTTCTTGGTGCTTGCGTTCTTCGAGCTCGAGCTTCTTCTTGCGCAGCTCATCCTCTGTACCAAACGATCTAAAAAAACAGCAAAAATGGCAATAAATACCTTGCTGCGCGGCCTTGTCGAGGATCTCGCTTCCGACGAGCAGCTTGGCTTCCATCGACTGCAGCTTGAGGACCAGTGCCTTTTGCTGCCGCTCCATTTCTTCGTGCTGCTTGCGCTCCATCTCGAGCTTGAGTTCCATCTCGCGCTTCTGATGCTCGGCGAGCGCATTGTCTTTGGCAGCCGCCGAAAGCTCGTCCTGGGCCTTCTTGCGCACGTCGCCAATCTCTTGCTTGGCCTTCTCTGCAATGCGCTTGGCTTCCTCTTCGCTAATACCCTTCTCGATAATGACCTTCTCGACGACCTTTTCGACAATTTCAACGGGCGCGACGGCTTGTGCGACGACTTGGCCGTCGACGGTGGTGCCCGACGGTCCGGCGGTGCCAATGGCCGCCAACTTGGCCTTGAGCGCTTCAATCTCTTCTTGGAACTCGCGAATCATGGCGTCTTTCGGGTCTTCGTTGATTTTCGGCTTGTTTTTGATTTGTTTTGCACGGCTCGCGTACCTGTCCCATTCGAGCTTAGTCGATGTCGGAACTAAATCGAGGCCTACCGGAGGGTCGTAAGCGTCTCTTCGTAGTTGTAGTCGGCAGGCCCGCAGTTGGCAATCATGACCGTCTTGGTGTTGCCACCAAGCGAGTCTTGTAAAAGGCGCGTGAGCTTCGAGTCGCGGTATGGAATGTGCTTGGATTTGCCGTCGACGAGCGCCGAAATGACGTTGCCGAGCGCCGAGAGCGACAAGTTGATCTTATTGGCTTCCTGGAGACGGTCGCCGGTCGCACCGGTCTTGCTCTGCCGCTCGCTACCGGCCAAATCGACCTATGCATCCACATCCAATTTGAATCTGGTGAAGCACGAAACACGCAGCATACGAGGTTGAGCTTCCCGACGCACACGTGGTCCTTGCCATCCATGCCATCGGAGAGACACTCGACAACGATCGTAAAGATCGAGTGGGACCGCGACGACGTCTGGTTCATGTTGGTGGCGCCGACGCTTCGGCTCTTGTTGCCTGAGCAAGGCATGAGTGTCTGCGTTGACGCATCAAGAGGCGGACCTTGCCGCATCACGGCGTCGATCTCTGCCGCGTCCTTGACGACTTGGGCTGTCAGGTTCTTGACGTAGACGCCCGAGTCCGCATTCTGTACGATGGAAGCTATTGTCATTGCTGGATAGGACAGTTTTGGTACCTCTTTGAGGTCGAGGCCGGCCTTCGGGTCTTTCGAGAGCAGGTCCCGGACTTCTTCGTTGTAAATTTCAAGGTACGAAGCGCGCACAAGAATTTGCTTCTTCTTGGTGATCGCCACCTACGCGCTTTTGTGAGCATCGGCGATTGGGCGCCAAGGAAGCTCGGGTTGCCTTGTCAAAGATGTGCTTGAACGAGTTGGGGATGATGCCACGCATCTCGGGCGGGTCGGGCAGGCCCTCCATCGTGTGCGACTTGCCCGCGCCCGTCTAAGAACATATATTTGTGAGCGCAAACCGGTGGTAGAGTCGTGTACTTGGCCATAAGCAAAGATGGTGCCGTTGTAGCCGTCCATGACGGCTTCGACGATCGCGGTCGCCGCCGTGTCGTACACTTGCTGCTGCGTCGACTTGGAGCCGAACGCAGCGTCAAACGTAAAAGCTTTTGGCGCCTCGGACGACGCGGCCGCGGGGTTGGTGATCGTCACCTCGGCGCGCTCAAAGCTCGCGACCGTCGCCTCGAGCCGGCCGTCTTGCTTCTCCTTGCTGCTCATCGGGCGGATGCGCACCATGACGCGGACGCTCTCGTCGGCCTTGGACGGCGGTGGCATGGTGCAACTTTTTATTGGATCTTGAACCGTCGTCGTATCCAATCCGGATACTCCCATCCGACAAGATAGACGGTCTCTATACAGGACCGATACATTATCGGGTTTTGTCGTCTTCTTGGCATTGCTTTATATATACCATTTATTGACCAAAGCTGCTGTTGTCGAGTCCAGCACTGGTGACCACGGACGTGGCACCGGGAGTGTCTTGCAGTCCAGATTCGCTATACGCCGTGGTCCAATGGTGTCCACAACGTAATTTCTGCCAAGAGTATCAAGGTATCAAGTGAGCGTTCGTCACTGTCGCGATTGCAGTGCGCCTGGCACGATCGCTTAGCACGATGAGCACCTTGGACTGCAGCGCGTCGCGTGTCGGCGGCCGTGTACCTGGAGCTTGGAAGGTGCTTCGCGTATGTTGGGGTGTCGTCAGAGGCGCGATCGACGCGCGAGTTGGCTGCAGACTGTCCTATTTACATGGTACGTTTTGGACGCCGATTCCTTTTCTACAGCAGTGATTGCAGTGGCAAGGCGTCTTGATCTTCGTCGGGCAATTGTCCATACGTGGCAGCTCCAGCAAGGTCACTGTCGTATCCGGTGATCCGGATAACTTGGCAGCGGTGCCGGTCGGTTGTGAAAAGGGTGAAAAGGGCAATCTCAAATCTACTTGACAACGAGCAGCGAGCGATGCGAGCCGACGAGCTGCCGACGTACGCCGTGCGCTTTGACGGGCCCAAGGTTGGCATTTTGCCCAGTGACGGCGCTGCGTCCGGCCTCGATGGCGCTCTTGTCGGAAGCGTCCGTGGCGCTGCACTCGCCAGCGGCGTCGTCGCCGGCGACCTCATTTGTCGCGTCAACGACATCAACGTGCTCTTCAAGCCCTTTGCATTTGTCACCGACGTGCTTCGTACCGCACACTGGCCGTGCACGATTGAGTTCATTCCCAGCGTCTACGGCGCCGATCTCTACCGACGCTACGGCGTCCCGTTGCCTGTGTCCACGCCTCGGAACGACCCAGTCATGGACCGTCTCGTCGCCATCATGCGCCCTAACGACAGCTATGACGAGCTTACGCGCCGCATCCAAGAGATCTCTCGTCGCATGCGTGCGATTGGGACGGCCGACGTGACGCACCCAGATCCTCTAGTCCAGAGAGACCTCCGTGAAGAGTATTTTGTGCTTGAGCAAGACATGGAGGCGTGTCACGACGCCATTCAGCACAAGCCCGAGTACGCCATCGAGCTGACGCGACTCCAAGAGGCGTGGGACGACGCCGACGCGGACGACGCCTTGCGAGCCCTCTGCGCGATTCGGCGCATGCTGCCCGTCAACATCAAGTCGCTCTCCGAGACGGCGCTCACTCAAATGTTGACGCCGAATGGTCAGACGATCCCTCGCGACGTCGCTCGCAAGTTCAAGCGGACCAATATTTTGGAGCTCTTGCGCACGGACCCTGCCGACGTCGCGAAGGCCCATCCCGCAATTCTCGAAAATCTTCGGACGACGGGCTTGACGCTGACCGAACGCCGAGCGCTGCACGCGCACTTGCGAGACGTCGGGCGGCAGTGGGCAAGAAGCATCGATAATGAGCTTGGTAAGCGTCGATACGACTGGTTTCAGCTCTTGCGAGGCGAGTATGTTGCGAGCGTCAATACGTACAAGGCCCACGTCGCGCAGTTTGGACTACCGGGTAGTCACCCGTACGCGACGCCCAAGACGCCCGATGTCGGCTGTCCTTTGCGCGGGAAGCAGTGTCCGCTGATGGCGGATGCGTCGCCAGCGTACTCGAGCGACTATGGATATCCCGACGGGCCAGTGTACATGGGTTTCGAGGGCCACAACGACTATGGAATCGGCAACGCGGTCCGTTTTCGATCTCAGAGACCGAGAAGAGGAAGCTTACTCATGGCTACGATGGCAGCCCGACAAACAAGCACGAGAACGGCGGGTCGTCCTTCTTGGCTGGAGGAGATCGCTGCACGCGGCCAGATCGAAGCAGACGACTTTGTCTGGCCACCCGGCCAAGAGGCCGAGATGCCGCCTGCGAGACAGGTCGACGTGCCGATTCCCACGAACCGAATTCGACAGCTAGCGCTTCGTACTGCTGGCCATGCTGTCGATCGAGACGCATCGGCGCCGTCGCGGTTGGCAGATATTGCTGCTTTTCGTAACCTCGAATAATAATGACAAATCGCGTCTCACAATGACAGTCGAGCTCAGTATTGCATGGGAGCTAGACCTGATCAGTCTATCGTTGCGCGGGTGCCCGCATCGATTCCAGCGTGCATTTGCATCATATAAGGCCCAACCATAATGGTGTCATTTCGGTGGACATGAAACCGCTTGCCGTAACACTCACTCGTCAACTACGTCGTACGAAGCACGAACTTCTTCCCGCCTACCAAGAGTCGTGACGAATGCTACGATCCCGATCTAGACACGATGTACCAAGCATTAACTAGTGTGCACCAGCTACAGAGCTTTCGTAGCTGCTTCCGTCCACCATACCCAAGACAACGAGATGGAAAGAACAGCTGTTGATTCGTTGGATAGTTCTTCGACGAGAGAGAGCAACACACACACATCGTGTCCATACAAGAACAGACACGGCTTACGCCTTGACGATCTTGGGGTACGCGGGCATCTCGGCGACGTTGCACATGCCCTTGCCGCCAACGCCGCGCTGGAGGCGGATGTAGCCGGCCTCGCCCCACGACGCGCCCCACGAGTTGCGGATCTTGAAGTAGGTGGTGCCGCTGGACGTGCCGTAGCCGACGGCGATGACGGCGTGGTCCGACTGCGCGCCGGGGCACGCCGTCACAACGCCGCCGCTGTAGTACTGCCACACGTCGTTGCCGGCCTCGACGGCGACCGTCACGGGCTGCGTGTTGAGTGCGGTCGTGAGCGGGCCCTCGCCGACAATCTCGACCGCCGCGCCGATCGAGAGCTTCTGGGCCACGCACGTCTTCTTGCACGTGCCGTTGGCGCCGGACGAGCCCGACGTGTACGGGTAGTCCTTGGTGAGGCACTGGCCGCGCGACGCGATCCAGTTGATGGCCTTGTCCTCGTAGCCGCCGTCGCAGCCCAATTGGCCGTCGACCTTGTCGCAGCTCACGAGCTGCTGCTCGGCGAGGTTGAGGAGCTTCCCCGTCGCGATACAGTGCGCCGACTCGGCCGCGCCCGTGGCCGAGAAACTCCAGCAGCTGCCGCAGTTGCCCTGGTTCTTGACCGCGTTGACACACGACGAGGTCGTCCAGTCGACGGCGCCGGCGGCCGCGACGGCCTCGAGCGACGCATAGTCGACGCTCTCGACCCGGAGCTTGCGTTCGGGTTGAGCCTTGCCGAACGACCGGCCGAGGCGCTGCTCGAACTCTTCGTGGCTCAAGAGTGCGAACGGCCCGACGTGCGAAAAGCTCGCGTTCGGGTTGGCGGCTTTGAGCACCTCGACGCGCTCCTTGGCCGAGTGCAGACGCGCGAGAAGCGCATCGCTGGCGTCCTCCTCGCTGCTGATGCTGTACACCGGGGGCAGGAGGCTAGCGTCGCCACCAAACTTGGCGCGCCACGCGTCGAGGTCGGCCACGAGGGACGCGCGCTGCTCCTCGGAAATGTCCAAGGCAGCGGCCGAGACCGCGAGTGCCGAAGCGAAAAGCATGCGTTGCATCTTGGATGGTGGGGGAAAGCCGGGAAAAGGAAAAGTGAGTTTGCTCTTGCCGCGTTGGCGAGAGAAAAGAAGAGCCCCGGGTCAGATCGAACGAGACGCGCATCCCACGGACGATGGAACCAACGGTCTGAGTCGAGTGAAAACGCTCTGTATTTTGAAGAGAGAATACGAAAAGCATGACTGTGACGTTTCCAGTAAGCTCGGCGATTATACACGACCGTCAATGGGTTGAAAAAATATAGTCTGCGACGTGGGTGCGTTGACACAGGACGTCTGAGTCGGTCTCAGATGCAGAGTGTCGAGGTCTCAGATGCCAGGTTGCGAAGACTCAGATGCAATGATTTGAGGAACCAAGGATAGGACCTCGTATGCACGCGTTGAAGCGTCAGCAGTACCAAAGGTGACGTCAACGTTGTTGGGATGCAAAGGCAACGCCGGTAGTATCTGCGAATCAGATGGTATCAGATGACGTCAAGAAGTTCCGATGGAACACCCCCCGTGGGAGATGCGACCAGTGTCGGTGAACGTTGTCGTCAACACGAGAGTCTTATTGATGAGTACTTGGAGTTGCCCCATCGCTCGAGTTGGCGCCACTAGTAAGAACTCGTATATGATTTGTGATGCTGGTGTCACTTCACTGAACCGAGAAACCCCAAAACAACGAGCAACGTCGTTTCGCACCCAACGCAGGAGT